AAAGAAGAAATAAATATTAAACCAAGTGAAAATACAGAAAAATATGATGGATGTGTATGTCATAATATTAAAGAACAAATGGAAAATATTATGATAAATAATCATAACAAATTAATTTTAGCATTTGAAGGAGTATTATATCAAGATGATACTATCCAAATTGGACTTAAAAGTGCATTAGAATCACCAATATGTAAATTTGCATTATTCTTTGGAAATAGAATTTCAGAAGAAGTTGAATTAAATTATATCATTGAATGTCCAAATGGATTAACATGTAATTCTGGTGAATATAATGGAAAAATTGGAATTAAAAGTCAAATTCAATCTATTGCTCAATTTACAATCTCTGGATTTTATTATCAATCCCCAATAATTAATATCACATATAAATCAAGTTCAATTAAAAATAAAATTGCATTCTCACTCCCATTAACTGTAAATGCATTCCTTGTTCAAGAACCATTAGAACCAAATATTTTTATGCAATATTGGAATACTATTGGTAATACCACTGAAAAGAAAAGTATTGTTCAAATGAAACAAAACAATACGATTGATTTACCAACAATTCTTGGTGGAATGAGATTTATTTGTTTAGATGTGAAACCTGAACAAATTGTTGCTTGTTCTTCATTCCCTTCTTTCCAAAATATTTATGTCTTATTGAGAATTGAAATTAATATTGCTTCAAATAAGGCATGCATTTATGTCAGAGCTCAAGATCCTTCCCTTGCCAAAGTGATTCATAATTTATTGTGTTATGAAATTGCTGCTTAAAAAAGAGACATAGAATTGAATTTTTTTTTTCATTTACATCTTCTTATTACTATGACCAAAACATGATTTTAAAGTATTCTTTTCATTTTGTTCAATCAAAACAAACACTATAATCATCCCATAAAATCACTCAAAATTAATATAAAGAAGATTGCATTTTCTCTATCTCATCAACTTATTTTATTCAATGAATAAAATATGAAATAAAGATTGGTCATCTGTAATTGAGTTAATACATCTTAATCTTGTGAATAATGAGTGGTTGTGTTTTACTTCATACCACCAATTTAACTCTAAACGACTCCATTAAACAAACAAAACAAAAAGAACAAAAGTATGCATAAGAATTATTACTTTGTTCCATCATAGTTGTGATTAATATCATTAGTGTGTATTTGTGGTGTTCTCATTAAACTGTTGTTGAGTTTATTCTAAAAACATGTATTGTTTTATGGGATATTTTGGAACAGAACAACCAATTAAAAAGTTGTAAAGAGTCATTAGAATAATTTTGAACAAGAGATGAAATAAAACTGAACATGATAAAGAAATGAATCACCAAAACACAAAGAAGGATGAACAACAATAACAAAGGAATGTGAGTGAAGAGAAGAACAAAGAATTGCCACAGAATAAAAACAAATAGTACAAAGAATAAGAGTTTTTGGAATAAAGAAAATCTAAAAAGTCGATAGAAATGGAAGATAGCATTAGTGCAGCAAAGGAAAAAGAGATACAGAAACTCAGGAATGAAAGTAAAGAATTAGACGATGAGATCTCAAGAATGGAAAAACAATACAAAGAAGATGAAGAGAGGAAATATGAGATAGAAAGAGAAGAATTAATGAGAAAGGTGGAAGAGATACTCAAGACACTTGAAAGTAACAACGAAGAACAAATGGAACAACTTATTTTACAAGCACAAAATGAATTAAAGAAAAGGATTTACCAAGAAAATGAAATTGTAGAAGGGATGAAGAGAGAAAAGGAGGAACAAGAAAAAGAAAGGACAGAAAGAATTAAGATAATGACGAACACAGATGAATATTTCATTGAGAAAATAAGGGAAACTAAGTCAGGGTATGAGAAAATAAAAAAAGAGAATGAAGAGATTTCAATAAGAAATCAAATGATAGAAAAAGAAATTAAAGAAATAAAAGAGGAAGTGAAGGAAAGAAAAAGACGGAAGGAAGAATTGGAACAAGAGAGAGAAAAGAAAGAGAAAGAAATAAAGGAACTCAAGGCACAGAAAAACATCATCAAAAGTCAAATAGAAGCAATAAAAGAAGATAATTCAATAAAACAATGTTCAGAGGAAAAGATAAAAGAATTAAAAGAAACAATAGAAAAGCTCAAATACCAAATAGAAAATGATAAAACTAAAGTTAAAACATTAGAGATTGAGAAAAATGAACAAGAAAATTATAAATGGGTTTTATTAGAAGATTCATATGCTCAAAAAGATTATATTAAAACATTACTTCAAATGTATGAAAATATGTATGGTATAAAAGTCAATAAAAATGAAGAAGAAATAATCCAAGAACTTTATGAACAACACACTGGAATTAAAGAATGGAATAGATATGTAAAAACAATGTTTGACTCAATTAATAAAACATATCATTAACTCTTTTGTGTTTTTTGATTTTAAGAATTTCTAAAACAGATAAAGAATTTGAAGTTCGTAATTGCACCATTCAAAAAATGAACAAATCAAAACAAATTTATGAAGGGGAATATCTCACTGATTCAACTAAAGAATGTTATCAAGACATTAAAACATCATATTTTGAAAAATTAAATATTGAAATGCCTAAAGAAAACAATAAAATAAATCTTAAAAGTGAGATGGTTGAAGAAGATGAATGTGAAAAACCAATAAGTATAACAAAACCACAAGAAATTCCACGTGATGTTTGTTTAAAGAAAATTTAATATATTTTTTTGATAAATGAAATTACAAATTACTTATTTTTATAGAATAGTTCATTAGGAGAAGATGTATTAATGCATATGTTAAGACAAAAAGATGATATGGCATGTTCACCTCCATAAAAAGAAACAATTAAATAAGGTACTCAAAAGTATTATTGAATAGTTTTTGTCTAATTAGTTCATTTATTTACATTCCAATAAAAGATTAAAAGAGAGTATTATTAAAGTTATCAACATTTAATTTAAAAGAAAGAAATAATTGAAGAAAAAAATTAAAGTATATCAAAAAATATTCAAAAATTATAACCCTTTCTTTTGAACAGATTTAACTAATTCACCAATAATTTTACCATCATTAAATTTTCCTTGTACTCTTAATGCACGACAATCTAAAATAGGTAATTGTAATTCTTTAACAGATGTATTTACTCTCATTGAATCTACAACAGCTCTTAATCCAAAAATACCAATTTCATTTTGATCCCATTTTAATGTTTGTAATGTTTTTGTAATTTTAAGAAGATTTGCTAATGCAAATGCACCTTTATTTCCCATTCCTTGTGATTGTATATCTAATGAAACAATATGTTCATTTTTAACTAATGAATTTAATACTGGAATCATATTTAATCCTAATTGTTGATCAGTTTTATTTCCTCCTTCTAATATTAAATTTTTTAATGAAGTTGTTTTTTTTAAATATTTTAATAATGCTGTCATTAATCCTTCTGTATCATCTCCATTAATTGTTTTACTAATATTTAATGTTTCAACAACAGTATTTTCAACTAATGCATCAAGGATTTTACTTAATCCTTTATCTTTAATATTTGTTTGACTAATATCAAAAGATATAATATTTTTATTAAGTTTTATTGATTCAGCTAATGAATTAATTCCTTCATCATCAAATTGCATTCCTTGTAAATCAAGAATAACTTCTGATGATTTTAAATTTTCAATTATTTCTTTTAAAACAATTGCAGGAATTGAACATTTTCTTAAATGTAATTCTTTTAAATTATTTAATGTTGATATAATTTTTGCTAATCCAGTTTCTGTTTTCTTTCCAATTGAAATTCCAGATAAATCTACATGAACAAGGAAATTTAATCCTTTTAAAACATTTACTAATTCTCCACTATTTTTAATATCTAAATTACTTAAATTTAATTCCATCAAATTAGGGAATATTTTAGCAAATTGATTAATCATGAAATCAATTGATTCATTACCCATTTTTGCTCCTTCTAACTTTAATGATATTAAAGGTAAATGAATTTTCTTTTCAACACATTCTTTGAATCCTTCAAAGAAATATGAAATACTTTTATCATTAGAAATACAATGATTTAAATTGATTTTATTAATTTGATAATTAACTATAATTTTAGCTAATGATGCTAAAGCTTTACTTTCTAATTTATTATTTCCAAGATCTATTTCTTTAATATTATGTGATTTATTCTTTTCAATATAAGCACATAAAATTGTATCCCATTCTTTAATTCCAACATCATTTAATCTAATACATTCTAATGTTTCATTATCTTCTAATACTTTTTTTAATTCTTCTTCACATCCAACTAATGATGTACTTTCTATATTTAATTTAGTAAAATATTTATTTGTTCTTAATGCACTTAAAACTGGTTGAAATTCTGTTGCAGACATTGCATCATTTTTATTATTTGGATCAGTAGTATTAAACATTAAACAATTTAATTCTTTTGCTCCTTCAATATCTTCTTTTGTACTTTCAATAAATGCTTGAACACTTTCATTAATAGGAACTTTTTTATATGTACAGAATGCATTATAAATCCCACTAAATCCTCCACAAGTATTAAATGTTTGAAGTGAAAATACATTTTTAAAATTAGCTGATCTATGTGAAGGAACATCAATAACAAATCCATAAATTCCATCAGCAAAACTAGATTTAAATGAACGTAACATAGCAATAATAATTTGATCTGGATGAATTGTTTCACCAACAAGAGATGTTCCATCTTTTAATTGGAAACTCATTCCCATTTTATTTGCACTAGTAACAGTTTGAATATCAAATACATGAATTTCTTTTATAATATTAAATGATTGATCAAGAATAATAATATGATGTAATGTAACAATTAAAATTCCTTCAATTTTATTTTCATTAATTTCACAATTAAAACTAGAAATATAAACAGCTTCATGTTTGTTTTTAATAAGAAATTCTTTTAATTTAATTTGAATTTCTTCTTTAAATTCACCAAATGAATGTGTTTTATCACTATATTTTCCTAATGATACCATATATTTACAGAATTCTTCACTTATTTCAATTGATGATGTTCCAATAATTTCATCTGCACGTTCACATAATTCTTTATGAATTAAAGCAATTGGTTTCATATCAGTAATAGTAGCTTCTTCTACAACAAGAACAAATGGAAAGTTTTTAGCAACATTAACAATTCTTCTAAAATATCTTTTAAATTTATCTAAATATTCATCAAGAATAACATTTAATGGTAACATAAATGGTTCTTTTTCTTGAATAAATTTAACTCCATTTGATAAATTTTGAAGAACTTTTGATAATAAAATAAGATTTCTTCTTCCACTCATTGAAATTTCTTTTGGATCATCAACAATACCATATTTTTCTGGTGAAAATATTGCTGGATTAATATATCTTAACATAATAAATGATCCAGTTAAACTATTTCTTGAATCATCTGATAATTCTCCAAAAAATTGTGCTGCATATTCATTAAATATTCTTGCTAATAATTTAACTCCAGGTGGTAATAAATCAAATGATTCAATAACTAAATCAAAAAGTTTTCTACATGCTTTAAATAAATTTTGTTTATTTATTTCTAATTTTTCTTTATCTGTTTCTCTATGATCATCAATTTCAAATGAAATATTATTATGAATAATTTCTTGTACAAATGGTTTATAAATATCTAATAAATATTTTCTTCCTACTTTTGCTAAAAAACTTTTAGCAACTCTAGTTGCACTTGTATTTTCTCTAAATAATGAATGAGAATCTGTATGTGTTTCAAATTCTTCTTTTAACATTTGTGATACAAAATCTAATGCAAGTCTTTTACTATATGTTAAATTTAATACTGCATCTGCTAATTCTTCTGCTTTATCTCTATTAGAAAACATTGTACTTAAAATATTTGGTGCTTTCTTCATAAAAAATTCAAACATATTTTGTAATACTGTTAATTCTCTTTCTGAATAATATAAATTTTCTTCTTTAATTTGTGTTTCTCTTCCATCTCCATATTTTGATACTTCTTCTTCAATTGCACTAATTTCTCTATGAATAAAACTTTCTCTTTTAACTACTTCTTCAACTGTTCCTTTTTGTTTTTGGAATTCATTTGGTAATGTTCCTGCTTTTTGCATTGCAAGTAACTCTGCTAACGTTGGTTTCTTTTCTGTTGTTGTTTGTGTTGATGATGTTGTTATTTCAACTTGTTGTGTTCTAACATTTCCATTTGACATATCTGTTCCTGGTGTTATTTTTTCTTTTTCTGTGTATTGTTTTGGAAGACTACCAGCTTTTTGCATTGCAATAAGTTCAGCAAGTGTTGGTTTCTTTGCTGGTGGATTTCCATTAGAAAGATCTGTTCCTGGTGCTATTTTTTCTTTTTCTGTATATTGTTTAGGAAGAGTGCCAGCTTTTTGCATTGCAATGAGTTCTGCTAATGATGGCTTTTTTTGTTGAGCTGGTTGAGAAGAAGGTAATTCTTTTACTGGTTGAGGACTTCCATTTGACATATCACTTCCTGCAACTACCTTTTCTTTTTCAGTGTATTGTTTAGGAAGAGTGCCAGCCTTTTGCATTGCAATAAGTTCAGCAAGTGTTGGTTTCTTTGCTGGTGGATTTCCATTAGAAAGATCTGTTCCTGGTGCTATTTTTTCTTTTTCTGTGTATTGTTTAGGAAGAGTGCCAGCCTTTTGCATTGCAATAAGTTCAGCTAATGATGGCTTTTTTTGTTGAGCTGGTTGTGTTTTTTTATCTTCACTAACAACGTTGTCTACTTTATTTTCATTACTTGAAGATACTGTTGATTCATATGAATTTGATAATGAGATTGATTCTGACATTTTGAGTCTAAAAGAAATAAATACGAGTTCTTTTTGATTGATTTTTTTCTGTTTGTTATTCTATTTTTATTATTTCATTAAATAGTAAAAAAACTATAAAATCTAGTTTTTTATTTCTTTTTTTTTTAAATATAATTAGAATTCTATTTTTTTAATAAAAAGAATATTGATTTCCTGAAAATTGCAGTATTTTTATCTAAGAAAGAAATAAATAAAAATTAGTGTATTTTTTTTTCACTCAAAGTATTAAAAAATGAATAACTCAGAAAACTTGTAATCTAGACAAGAACACATATCTGTCTTAAATATAAATTATTGTAATAAATGAAAGTAAGCATTGTCATTTTTATACTTTTTTATTTGTATAAATTAAACAAAATAATAAAAAAAGAATCAATTATTTTGTTAATTATTTATGAATAATGTTAATTGAATTATCTTTTCATTAAAATATCTATTATATCTTCATGATTGTTTATTGATATTTGTTATTTTTAATCATGTGTTTGTATTTCATCAATATGTACAATATCTCTTGTTTTATGATAATAAAGTTAGATATTAAAAATATGGATTATTATATAAATAATTTAATGTTATAGTAAACTTTGATACTAATTATCTTACTTAATGAAATAATTTGATAGATTATTGATATTATATTTTCATTATGAGTTTATAGACTTGTTATTTGTTTCATTTAAACATAAAATTGAAATGATTCATTTGTTAATAAGTATTCTAATATATGAATTAATGAAATAATTAATATTCATTAATTGTTATTTTATCTTTTGTTAAAATATCATTTATTAGACTTTTCATTCAATTAAATGACTTAAAACAATTCTAATAATTATCAAATATTGTAAATAATACTTAATAAATGAATTTTATTTAATACTTTGTATATACACTCTTATTCTAATAACCTTCTTAATTAATTATAACATGATCATTTTGTACAACTTTATTTTGTTAATAAATCATTTATAATACACGGGAACCTACTATTCAAAGAAATCACTCTTATTAAATTAGAAGTCAAAAACAACACAAATAATTCAGTTAATCATAATTTTGATTAACATTAATTAGAGTCCTAAATAATCTGTTTTTTAATTGGTAATATTATTTGTCTTTTCTTTTAATTTATATTTTTTCATTGCTCATGTATTCTAGTTTTATATTTAGATGATTGCTTATTCATCAAATTTAAACCATTATGAATACGATGTGTTTTGTTATTCTTGTTTATTTTGACACATTATCTTATTAAATTCACTACCATCTGTTTTATCTCTTAATTTCATATATTCTTGACAAATATTAATAGGAGAATACTTACATCTAATGTCATTTTTTTCAATCATTTTATGACATTTCATTAATCAAATGTTATTAAATTTTTAATGATAAAAGAAATGAAATATGTTTAGTTCATTTGTAGCTTAATTAATAAATAAAAAAACATACAATTTAATAATCTTTAATCTAATGTCAAAATAGAAAATAATAAAAGAGAAATAAATAAAATAACAAATGGATTTTTTTAAATAACTAAAAATTTAAACTGAACCTAACTTTAATACTTAATTATGAGAAATACCTTAATATGGTATTAAAAGATCAATTAATCAGCATATTTCTTCTTAAGTTCTTCAATTTCTTCTGGTGTATAATCATTTTCTTCATTAAGATATTCTCGCATTTGTTCAACAGTTTTCCCAATTAAATTCTTTGCAATGGTCTTGGCAGTTGCTTCAACAAGCATATCAATATTCATGAATGTTGCTGCTTTTAGCATTTCAAATAACATATCCTTTTCTAAATCATCACAGAACTTAACATCCCATGGATGAAGATCTGCATTCTTATCTCTATCCCCAATTACAAAATCTGGATACATCAATGGATGTTCGTTGTGGAATAATAACCATTGAATAACTTTTTCTAACACTGCTCCTTCTACTTTTAAAATAGGAACTGGCTCATCAGCATTTTCTCTGTCTTTCATAAGTGATTCTACGAGTCCTGATTGTTTTGCTGCTTCTTCTGAAATAATGAAATCTTTTCCATCTGATGATCTTAAGATTACGTTTTGTGCCATGCCTTTCTATTTTTTAAGTTCTTCTTTTTCCCTTTTATGGTTGTTGTATGCTTAATTTATAGTTTTTAGTAATAATTTATTATAGCAAAGTTATTTATTCCAAAAAAATTGTAAAGTATCTTTTTAAGATCTTATTGAGTTTTAATTCTATTTAAAGAAAGTTAATATAAAATAATAAATTTTACTAAAAATGAATTATAGTTTTTTTTACTGATAAACTATTATTGTTATATAAAACAATTAATAACATTAAAGAATGTTATTTAGGGAGAAAAGAAGGACGGTGTAAAAATCAATCACATTGAAAAAACTCTAATGAGACTTTATTTTTAATAGCACTACAAGAACAACTTTCTTTGTTAAAAAGAACATGAAAAATTGATGTTATTTTTAATTGATCATAGGTTGTTTCATTTTTATTGTACTTTTAATTTTAGAATTCAAATTTTTATTAAATATAGAATAAAAAAAGTTTGGAATATTATTTAAAATGGTATATTTATCTTATAATACAAAGTGATAGATAAGAATTTGTATTTATCTTTTATAAATTTAACTGTTTATTTAATAATTTTTTTTTGATGCATTTGAGAAATTTTTTAATAATTTTCGATTAAATATCTTTTTTTTAAGAATAAAAATTAATTATAAATAAAAAAAAAATTCAATAAAGAGACGAGAGTTTCATAACCATATTTGATAACCAATTATTTGTATTATCTTTAAGTGAAATATCAATAACATTTTTTACTTGTGTTTCAGAGATTGTCCCAGTAATTACATTAATTCTTGTTCTTACTGGTCTAAAAGGATCTGATAGTTCATTGTATTGTTCAATACGAGAACCATCAAATTCAAATTCAACAGTGATATAAAGTCCTTTATCTTTATTAATAATTGGAATTTTTAATGTAGGACGGTCATTGTTCTTAACAAAATAAGCACCAAGTTCTGAACGTACCTTTCGTGTAACTTTAATAAAATTGACGTACTTATTAAAATAATTCACAAGATAACGATATTTCTCTTCAAGACTATTTGGGTTTTCAAGGATCCAATATGCGATTTTATTTTCATCAAAACATTTGTTACTGTTATTGAATAACATCAAATGACGATATCTTCCGTTTAACTCAACTTTACAATTTTTAAGATTTTTATAATATTTGATAAAAGAGTTACAATCTTCGGGAACAAGATTTGAGTAAATAAGATGAAGTAATGTATTACCAGGTAATTTACAAATAACACAATATCCATAAATAACAACCTCTCCAATAGCTGGAATAGTTATCTTTCTAATATTTTTTGAAGGTGATTTTATTATTGTAGAAACTTTATCTCCTTTTGAAGTAAGAAGTTTTTGTTTTAGTACTTCTATCTCTTTTTGCATGTTTTGAATTTCGATTTTTCGTTTTGCTATTTTATCTGCCAATTTAGCATAATATGATACTTTCAATTGATGAATACTGCTTGTTAATTGACTGATTGTGTTTTGACAGAGTTCTTTGTATTTACCTACATATATTCTTCTAAGAAGTTCATGGAGGCACTCTTCTATTCTAAATTGTTCATCTTGTGATAATGTGTTGTACTGTTGTAGAATAGGTGGTAGTGGAGTGAAAAGAGTTAACATCGTATCAACTGGAGATGGTTTCATTGAAGACAATAAAAGGTAAGTATTTGTAATGCAATGCTCTAATGACTTTTTGTAATTCATAAAATCATCTTCATTTTCAAGTTCTGTCCGTGGACGGTTTTCATTGTTTATATAATTCATTAATGGAAGTAAATATGATGTAAAGATAGGTAAGTAGTTTAAGTGAATCATTTTTGTCACACTAATGATCGGTTTAGCATTTGAATTTCCTGGAGTTGAAAGGGCAGATAATAACTTGATTTTTCTAGACTTCAATGACTCTTCTGATAATCTACTAACTTTGGTGATGTAATTTGTTGTTGGACGAAGTGGTGTTGGAGATGAAATAGGTCGTGACATTCAATGAACAAAGTTATATTTTGACTTTGTTTTTTTTATATTTTCATAAACTTTTTTTATTATTTTGTTATTATAAAATCAGAAAAACCTATTTTTAAATAAAAAATAAAAAAAGGAAATAAAAACTAGATAAATAGATAAAAGATGAGTGATAATGAGATAAGTGATTTATTAGAAGACTTAGGTAGTGAAGACTTAGAAGAGATTGAAGAAGATGAAAAGAAGATGGAGGAAGATAATCAAAACGAAATGAATAATGAGGATGATAAAGAAGAAAAAAATGATAGTTCACAAACAAATACAAAACCAATAAATGAAGAGAGTGAAGAGCCACATGGGATTATTTATCTTAGTGTTGTTCACAAAGGATTAAACCCAGGTATTATTAAAGGAATTTTTAGTAATTATGGTAAAGTAAGTCGTATGCATTTTATTGAAGATAAAAAAGTTTGTTATTTTAGTTCTTTAAAATAAGACAGATTAAATTTAAAAGCTATACTAACTGTTTTATAGAAAAAAGGGATATTTAAAGAAGCATGGATTGAATTTGAAACTGAGAAACAAGCTAAACTTGTTGCTTTAATGCTTAATGGAAAGGTTATTGGAGGTAAAAATCGACATTCTCCTTTTGCAGATAAAATTTGGAATATTAGATTTATTAAAGGACTAAGTTGGGGAAGAATTTTTGAGGATAAAGAAAGCAAACAAATATCTCAAGAACAACAAATAGAATTTGCAAAGAGAAAAGTAAAGAAAGAAACTGAAAGTTATTTAGCTAGTTCAAAGAAAGTAAGAAATTCAAAATTTGCAAGAAGACGTAGAGAAAGAAAAGCAAACCAATTAAAAGAAAAGGAAGAAACAGCACCAAAAAAGAATGAAGAATAAGAAAGATTATGAATTGATTGAATATTAAATGGAGGTGTATAGTTATATTTTGTTGAAAAGACAAGAAATTTTAATAATAATTTTAACTTGAAATTCAAATTGATAATTTTTTTTAAACCAAAAAAGAAAACTCAAAAATAAATACTTCTAAGTGTTTAAATGGCAGAGTTTCAAATAGACAATTTAGATAGTTTGATAGAAAGTGAAAATGTAGAAACAATAAGAAATTATTTCAAGAAGAAAAATCCTAAAGAAATTAAAGATATTTTAACGAAACAAGTTTCTATTTTAACAGTAGCATTTCCAATTTCATATTCAATCGTTAAAAAGAGAATACAAAGTTTTAATGAGTTACTTGATATTTATATTAAAAATAAACTCGATATTAATCAACAAGTTTGTTTATTGTTTTATTGAAAAATTATTATTAATATTTCTTTTAGGATGATGGTGGATTAACAATACTTCATTATGCTGTTCAAAGTAAAGATTCTCGTTTTATTACTACATTGTTAAGTATTCCCGGAATCAATCCTTATGCCCCAGATAATGATGGACAATCTCCTTTCATTTATTTTCTTAGATTTCATGATGAACCAACTATTGTAGAATGTTTGGAGGCATTCATTAAATGTTCTCGAATAATTTTAAATAGTAGAATTGCTTCAGGGAGGTATAAAGGAGATTTTCCTATCAATATTGCATTCCAAAATCAAAGGAGTTGTGGTATTTTATTAGAGACATTCTTAAAAAATGGAGCAGTTCCAGATGTTACAAATTTTTCAAATGATGTTCCACTCTTATATGCTGTTCAGAAAAAAAGACTTGATCTTGTGTTATTATTACTTAAGTTTGGGGCAAGGATTTATATTGCAAATAATGCAGGAAATTCTCCTCTTTCAGTTGCTATGAAAACTGAAAGTAAAATTACGTCTGTCTTTTCACTTGTTGATAGTATTCATATCAAAATGAGAAATGAGTTTTCATTGACACTTCAATACGACCTTCCACGAATGATTGGTATAGGATTGTTTACTGATGTTAGTACTTCTCAAGCAATGAGAAATATGATTAATATGGGAGTTAATCCTGATACTGTTAAACGATTTATGGAAGTTTGTAGGAAAACTGAAAAAGATTTTATGGAAAGTAGGGATGCATTTGATTTATTATATTATAAAGAAGATGAAGGAGAATTAGAAGAAGAAAAGAAAATTGATGTGAAAAGTATTGAATTTCTTGGAGAGTCTATAGGAAATAAAAATAAATTAGGTATGGGATTGTATGGAGAAGTTGTAAGAGCACGATATAAAGGTAAGACAATTGGAATTGAATATATTCGATTAGAAAATGAAGAAAAAACTAAATTATTTGAAGAACATATTGAGAAGAAATTAAGTACCATTAACCATGAAAATATACTTCAAATTATGAAAACTTTAGTAACAGATAATTCAATTTGGATTATGACAGAATACACTGATAAAGGATGTTTATTTGATTTACTTCAAGGACCAAAATTAAATTGGGAAATTATTTGTGGTATTGCAATTGATATAGCTGAGGGGTTAGTTTGTTTAAAAGAAAATGATATTGTTCATGGACAATTAAATTCTACAAGAATTTTTGTTACATTAGATGGAAGAGCTAAAATCAGTGAATATGGATTTAAACAAATCTTTGAAAGACATAAAGAAAATCATTTAATTGATATAGAAATTGCATATATGGCACCTGAACAATTAAGTGATACTCCTGTATTTGATAATGAAGGAGATAAATATAGTTATGGTATGATTTGTTGGGAAATGATTACTCGTTTAATTACTGGAGAACATGTTATTCCATACTACAGTGATGAAGAAAATTATACCAATGAAACTGATGCAATTGTTAAGAAGAAAATTCTTGGTGGAAGTATTCCTAATATTGCTACAAGAGAAAATGCACAAGTCTTTACTGCACCACCAAAGTTAGGTAAATTATATAGGAATATTTGTCAAACAAAGGTTGAATTAAGAAATGGGTGGGATAAAATTATTGAAGAATGGAGAAGTTTTGATGAAGAAAATACAAATGATCCAAAAAGATGGAAAAATTGTTTACAAACAGATGGAGAAATTTGTCCTGGGGAATATGCTAATAAAAAGTTCAAATTAGTTAAAGCAGCAGAAGAACTTATGAAATAATTATTCGATTTTTTTATGTTTTAGTTAAGTTTAAGTAATTTATTTAGTGCTAAATAAATTAATTTGAAAAAAGATGTCTTGACTTTATTTCTGTTATTCATTGAAGATATTAAAACAAAATTTTATTCTGAAAGATAAAGTTATTAACTCTATTGAACTATACAACATTTATTAAAACATTTAATATTGTTAAAATAAAAACTGTTTTTGTCCTGACAAAAAATATGAATAACTAAAAACAATAATACAATACATTTAACTACTCATACAAAAGATAAAAAGGAATTCAAATTATATTACTTAGACCTGACTGTTAGAAATAATTAAGTAAGGAAAAACTTATTCATTTATACTGTTAAATACTTTAAACGATTTTTTAGGGATATAATACAGAATTAATGTACCATTGTTGCCACTCTCTGAAACATTTTATTGATTTTCAATATTTAAGTGTGTTAATTGACTGAATATTTTTATGGAACAAAACCACTTGTAATAACTTTTTTCAGTTAATTTTTTCTGTTTTTTGTATGAGGTTTGAGATACTATTTATTGTTATAAATTTATAATAAATGTATAGTTTATCTTTGAGATAAGAAAAATAACAAAAACTGTAAAACCATAAAAATGACCGAAGGAAACATTAGCAAGAATTCTCTTGAAAGTGAGGATTCAAGCGATTTTGGAATAGATGTAGAGACACTCACTCAACAACAACCAATTAATTTAGTTAAAACTCCTGAATTACCTTCAGAAGAAAATACTCAAACTCTTAATGTACCACACAAAAAATTTCTTTCTCGTTCTAGTGTAACACCACGAATGTCAAATGAATACGAATCAAAAGATGCTTTTGAAACTCAAATTAAACCAACTAAATCAACAATTTCTTTAGTTCATAATTTAGATGTATCTGATGAAGAAGTTGAAAAAATAAGAAGTCATACTCCTCGAATGGTTCTTGCACAAACTAACACTGTCAAATTAGATGATATTATTTCAGATGAAAAATTACTTCCAGATACTGAAGAATACAATAATGTATCATTAACATATACTTCAATGAAGAACAGGATTGTTGAGCGAAGAATGGGAATAGTTTTTTCAAATACATCTCGTGGATTTTCTTACATTACGTTTATTTTTCTTTTCTTATGTTTTATTGCTTATATTTTAATAGCAACATTAGTGTTGCATCGTACAGAAAATTGTGCTTTAGAATATATTGTTTTCTTCTTCATTTTTGTAATTTGTGCTTTTTCAAATCAGTACGTCTCTCCTTTATTTCATGCATTAATAGTAGAATTCAATTTAGTGTGTTATCCTTTCTTTCTTATTCCAGATGAAGTTCATTGGTACTCTATTTATATTTGTTCAGCTTTATGTCTCTTTCTTTTGACTGTATTAATCTTTGCATCATACAAAAGAGTGAAACGAATAATTACTAGGATATTAGGTTTTAGAGAAATATCTTCAATTTCTCGATCTCTCACATGTACTGGTCAAGTCCAATATGTTATTCAAGATGGCTCATCTCAAATGACACTAGAAGGGAAATTTGACAATGGTAAAGCAGAAGGATTTTGTACATGGTTAGACACTGCTGAACAAGGAGAGTTATTAATTGGGACATGGATAGATGGTGTTCCTGTTGGACCATTTGAGTCAACAGAGAATAATTCAAGAACTATGATGAAAAATGTGAGGATTTTATTTGCAACTGATGCAGATGGAACTATGTGGGGAAAAAGAAAACATCCATTTGTTGGTGTTGCAGGGGTTGAGTGTATTATTTCAGGAAATTATTATAGTGTATATCCTAAGGTTAATATGGTTTTACCACCAAAGGAGTGTCGATGTGGACAGATATGTCACTGTTTTAAAGAGTTTATTGAAAATGGATTATACGTTACTGATAAATGTGAAGATAAAACTAATATTGTTGTTACAGTAGATCATAATAATAAAGGGTTTTTTATAGGAGGATATCGTCCTATTGGAGAAGGTAAAAGTGTTGAAATAAAGATAAAAAGAAAAGAAGATAAAAGTTATTTGACTTTGGATGATAGTTGGATGCCATTAAATGTCAAAAATGAAAGTGAAGGTTTAATTTATATTCATTCTGGAGGAATGTCATTAACAGATTCATTAAAGAAAATGGGACAGTTATTAGCATTAGGCAATTTCCCTGGACATGTTGTACCAATTTGTTTTAATTGGCCAGTTGGTAAACATTCATTATATGGAAATAAAAAAGCTAAAATGATGGCAAATAATATATTCTTACAGAATGATTTTGTTTGGTTATTACAGTCATTGTATCAAGCTAAATTTAAACGAGTTCATATTCTGTGTCATGGTGTTGGAGGTTATTTCTTCTTACAAGCATTTGAGACTATTCAATGTCTATTTTCTATTTACAATTCTCCAAATGATATTACTATGAGTTTAGTTAACTTAGTCTTAATGAATTGTGATTGTTCATTAGAAGAGTTTAAGAACAAATATCAAGACATTAAAAACATTGTTCAAAGAACCACTATTTATTCAGATAGAAGAGATAAAGTATTAAAAATTTCAGAAAAATTATATCATGAAATTGCTGTGGGGCATTGGACTGATCCATTGTATGATGATAATGGAGATGTATTAGAACGAGTCGAAGTTATTGACACAGGTGATCTGGAGAGAAATGATGATGGTTCAAATCATGGATTCTTTAATGTAAATAAATTAATGGTTGATGACTTATTTGAGTTGATTGGACAAAACAAAGGGGCTTCATACCGATCATCCCATTTATTAAGAGAAAAAGATAATAAATATAGATTTTCTTTGTTGCCAAAATCTGTTACTATGGTATGATTGTTATTTTAATTAATTGTTTAATTAAATTTAAATTATTCATTAAAAAATTAATTTTTTCCTTGTTAAATCATGTTTTATAAACTAATTCTTAAATTAGTACAAATTCTATATAAATTAATGAATACAATTCTCTAATTTTGACACAATATTTTTTGCATAAATACGTTCAAAAGGTCTTTGTTTCCAACATGAATTTATTAAATCAATTGCCCAATTGTCAATATGTTTTTTGAATGATGGACGTTTACCTTCTGTAACAAATCGAGCTATAGTCCATTCATAAGGAAAATTTTTTTTTGGAAAAGGAGATTCCCAATGAACTGTTTCAAACATAATCATTCCAAATGAATATACGTCAGCAGCAGTTAAATATAAATATTTGTTTAACACTTCTGGTGCTACATATTCGACACTAACAACTTTGTTACAAAAAGATGCATTTGACGTAACCATATCACTACTCCTTTTAAATCCACAATCAGTTAATTTAGCATTAATCTCATTTAGAGAATTGTATGAATAAATTAATATGTTTTGTGGTTTTAAGTTGCAGTGCATTAAATTCCTGTTGTGAAGAAATAAAATACCAAGTGCAGCGTCATGCAATATTTTATACCTTAATTCTATTCCAACTTGATTTGATTTTTTTTCTTTCATCAAATCTTTAAGACTTCCTAATGGAGCGTATTCTGTTACAATAGCTAGTTTATTGAGTTGGAATATTGCTCCAATAAATTCTGTAATAAATCTTCCTCGACTACATTTATCAAAGGTAACAACATCTTTTAGAAATACTTCAGTCATATCATCTTCTTGTCTTAGTATTTTGATATTTTTCATTGCAACTATTTTACCATTATAATTTGCTTTATATGTTGTACCAAAAATACTTTCACCAATAAGTTTAATACGAGACACTTCATTGTATGCCAATCTCTTTGTTCTTTCTGTTTCAAACTTAATTGGAACATTAAAGAAAGTCATCTCACCAGTTTTCATATTGAGTCGTGCGAAAGGAAGTAATCCATTAAATGAACATGAACAATTTGGTTTAACTGAAATAGTTAACTCAACTGCAAAACCTTCTTTGAGAGCTACAATACTTGGTTCAACTTTGATTTCAAAATTATCATTTTGAATCCCCAAATATCTTAATTGAATTAATTTAGAGCGTTTATTTGCAATAAAATATTTCATTTTAGTTCGTTCATTTACACTAATTACTTGAGTCCCAGAATTAGTATAATCAATACACAAAGAACTGACTAATACTTTACTTTCAGGTAATTTAAGTAAATGTATTGCACTTTCTTTAACTTCAAAAATTATTTCTTTAAGTTCCCATGATTCTTTCTTTGGTTCTCTTCTGTGAGCATAAAGTATTAATATTACTATAATTACTAGAGCAAATAAAAATAATAAAACAAATGTAATTGAAGGTGTTCCAATAATTGCAAGTAAAGTTAATGAATAAACACATTCATCACCTGCAGTTGATGGTGTGTATATTTCTGTACACCTTGAACATTTATGAGATGAATATTCGATACATCTTGAAATTTCTCTATAGTATATACATTCTTGAGTAGTATTTCTATAAACGTATTGTTCTAAACATTCAATACAACCTTTGTTAGAAACACATAATTCACATCCTAATTGACAACCAAGACACTTATTATTTTCAAGATAATAACCAATTTGACATGAAGTACAACGATCTTTTTCAAATGTTTTACAATGAAGTATAGTTGAGACAAGTTGACAACTATTATCCAATGATCTATAATATCCTTTTGAACTATCACATGTTATACAATAACTACTTGCATCATTACATTGTAAACATGATTTATCACATTTATTACATCTATAATTTTTTTTATCATAATAATATCCATTTTTACATATTGCACATCCTTTTTTATTTGGTAAAAAATGAAGACAACCTTTATTTGCTTCAATAAGTGTAGTACATATTCTTGATGTAGAGTTATATAAATATCCAAATGAACATTCAACACATTCTTCTAATCTATTTATACATTTAGCACAATTAATATCACAACTAATACATTGTCCATCATATAAAAAATATCCTAAATTACATCTCTGACATCCAAAAACTGATTCTATTAGACAATTATCAGTTCTTTTTGTTGAACTACAATAACTTGTTCCATTAGGTAAATATATTAAATTTGTAGTTTTACATTGGATACATTGATTTCCTTTTTGTATTAAACAATCTTCTTGAGAAATTTTTTCACAAGTACCTACTGTTGTAAGAAAATATCCACTATCACAACTAATACAATAAGAAGAAGAAATTGTTTTACAATGAAAATCTTTTTTATAAATACATTGATTATTATAGAGAATATAATCATTATTACATTGAATACATTCTTCTTTAATATTTTTATTACATTCTAAACAATTTTGAATTTGACATTGTTTACATTGATTCTCTAATAGATAATAAGATGACTTACATTGAATACATTGATTTATACCATTAGTTTGACAATTATTTATTAATTCACATTCAAATTTATTATTTAAAAAATAATTCTCTTCACATAATAAACATTCGTTAGAAGAAGAACAAATAATACAATGTGTATCAATACATTTTTCTGATTGTTTATATTTGATTGAATTCGAAATAATGCATTCATTATTTAATGTAAAATAACAACTTTCATTTCTATCATATGAGGAACAAATACCAGAATTTGAAATTGAATTATTACATTCTTCACACCCAAATGAATGATCATAATAATATGATAAACAATAATTTTCATTTTCATATTTCTTACATTTTCCATTTCTTAAAATATATCCTTTTTCACATTCTATACATTGTTTTAATTCGTCTAATTTAATACAATTATTCATTGATATATAACATTCATTATCTTTATTTATTTCTTTATTTTCACAACTTAAACATACTAACGATGTATCACATTTTGAACACCCAATTGTTTTCTGAGAACAATTTTCACATAAATGTGTTATTTTATTTAAATAATATTCTGAAGAACATTTTAAACACCACCGTTTCATGGTATCACATTCAATACAACCATCAATTTCGGAACATGCCTTACATTGATTTGACTCAAGAAAGTATCCTTCTTGACATGAATTACATTTATTTATATCACAAATACTGCAATGAGAAACTCTTTCTTCACATTTTTTACATATTGATTCCTCTAAATAATATCCTTCTTCACATTCAAAACATTCATTTAAATTACATTGTTCGCATGAAGAAATAATGGTAGAACATAAAGTACATTCTTTTTTATCATTTAATATAAATGGTAATTGACATAATTCACAATTTTCTTCGTTACAAGTTAAACAATTTAAATACTTGTCTCCACAAGACTGACATTGTTTATCTTTTGTTAGATAATATCCTTCTTCACAAATACTACATGAATTATCTTGTTCTCCTGAACATGTTAAACAATGAGGGATATTACATTCAACACATTCACAACTAGAAATCATTTTATTATTTGAACATAATGAACAACAATTAGAATTTGTTATATAACGAATACAATCCGTAATATTAGAACGTTCACAATTAGAATTAGAATTTAACAAATATCCATCTATACAAGTGGTACAATTTACTCCATTTGTTTCAGTACAATAAAATAAATTCATCGAAAAACAAAGTTCTTTATAAAGAATATAATTTGTTTCACATTCAATGCATGCTTCATAATTATATTTTATACAATGGGGAACATAAATACAATAATTATTAATCATTGTTATTCCTTCTTTACATTTTAGACATCTTGAAGATGATCCTTCATAATAATTCATTGTATTAAAAGGAATAAGACAATGTCCATTTTCTTGATTTTTTAAACATAAACTATTCATTGGATAATATCCATATTCACATACTAAACAAATAACTTGATCAATAAAAATGGTTGTATTTAAACAATTTGGAATTATAGAGTTTGAATCATTAATTCTATTTAATAAAATAAGTGATGTGTTAAACATTATTTCTTCTTGTTGATATGTTAAATAACTTATGTTATTTTCTAAATTAAATTTATTTAACATAACTGTCTTATTTTCATTATTAGAGTCTTCAATTTTTATACAAATCCCATTATATAAATGATATGAATCAATACATTCTTCACATTTACCTTTTGTCGCTTTTAAACAATGTGCATCATCAATAGAAATACATTTTTTTTCTTCTAAAACAAAACCATCGACACAATCATAACATCCTTCAGAATAACATCCACTCATTCCACATCTGGAATCACATTTATTACATATTCCTTTAGATGCATAATAACCTGTTTTACATAAAATACAATATGGTTCATTTTGTATATCTGATACACAGGAAATACATTGAGAAATAAATGAGCTACAAAAAACACATGTTTGATTTAAATACACAAGATCTTCTAAATAGTTACATGAAGTACAACTATTAAAATTATTACAACTATCACATATTTTATTACAAACTATCTCCAATTATTATATTATGGTCAATGTATAACTATAAAATAATAAAACAAACATGAACAAGAACCATTTTGAAGGTATTTCCCTTCTTCACATTTACTACAATAATTTTGATTATCACATTTTCGGCAATAATTGTCACACGCTATTTTTTTAAGTCTTTTTATATCAATTTACAAAAACGACTTTAACAAACCAACACACTGAGTCCCATTCCACATCATTCCTTCATAACACCGTGAACATGTTTTTTTTGATGTACAAGAAATACAATAATCAGGACACTCTGAATTATGTTAATTAACATTTTCTTGCTTGCCTTATTATTTAAACAAACTTTTACACTCACCTAGATTTTTAAAACACCCTTCATTACATTCATTACATCCATCAGTCCTTTGGTCAATACAAAAGCACCCTGTTTCATCCTGTCCCTTAGCACAATTAAAAATCCAAAGAAAAGAAATCCACCAAAATACTTGCTTTTCCATGTTTTCTTTTTTTAAATTTTTTGTTTTTTTTTTTTCCCAAAAGAATATAAACTAAACATACTAATAATATTATTAACTATTAAAATAGTATAATTATGAAAGAATGATAAAAAAAAGACAAAAAAAAGATTTGTTCAAATAATAATAAATTAAATTATATTCTTAAAAAGTAAATGAAGTTTATCCAATTTTATAGTTCAATCACTATAAAATGACTGAAGAATACCAACCAAAGGTTATCTTAATTACTGGAGGTGCTGGATTTATTGCATCTCACATAGTTATTCATTTTGTAAAACGTTATCCAGATTGTAGAATTGTTAATGTAGATAAATTAGATTATTGTTCTTCCTTAAAGAATCTTGAAGAAATTCAAGACGCCCCAAATTATAAATTCTATATTGCTGACATTACTGATCCTCATACCGTGCAAAAGATTTTTGAAATGGAACACGTCGATACTGTTCTTCATTTTGCAGCTCAAACTCATGTAGATAATTCATTTGGAAATTCATTCCAATTCACTCATAATAATATTTATGGCACACACGTTTTATTAGAGGTTTCTAAGGCTAACCAAATTAAAAGATTTATTCATGTCTCTACTGATGAAGTTTATGGTCAAGTTATTGGAAATGCTGCAACTGAAAACTCTTTATTAAACCCAACTAATCCATACGCTGCAACAAAAGCTGGTGCTGAATTTATTGCTCGTTCATTCTATCAATCATTTGGACTTCCATTAATCATTACAAGAGGAAATAATGTATTTGGACCCCATCAATTTCCAGAGAAATTAATTCCTAAATTCATTACCCTTCTTGATAGAGGACAAAATTGTCCAATTCATGGCAGTGGTGAAGAAAAAAGAAGTTTCATTTATGTCCAAGATGTTGTTAATGCTTTTGATGTAATCTTAAGAAAAGGAGTTGTTGGACAAATATATAATATCGGAACTACAAGAGAGATTTCTAACAATGAAGTTGCACATACCCTTCTTGATATTTTCCAAGTACCAAAAGAAAAACAAGATTCAAGAATATATCATGTAGAAAATCGATGTTTTAATGACCAAAGATATTCCCTTGATGTTAGTAAATTAGAAAAATTAGGATGGAAAACTACTACATCATTTGAAGAAGGACTTAAGAAAACTGTTGAATGGTATTCAAAACATAGAAATAATTGGGAAAGGATAGATGAAGCTCTTGTTCCACATCCAAGATTTGGACAATAATTAAATAATATATTCTTCATTGACTCAAAACCTCAAAAGTTTTTTTTCTAATTTAATTAAGTTTGATATTCTTTTTATACATCTTCACTGGTACTTTCATTCTTTTCATTTATTAGTCCTGGTTCACCATTTTCTTCATTTACTAATTCTTGCCTTAATTTTTCTTTTACTTCAAAATATTCTTTTTCGTCATTATTATTAGCAACAAAAATAGCTGTTTGACGTTCTTCTAAAGTTTTATCAATCATTTCAAAAATAGAAGGATATTCTGCAATTAATGTTTCAACCAGTGTATAAATATTTCCAGTAATTCCTTCATCTTTTGACCAACATAAATTTGGTGCTAATATTTTTGCTAGTGTTAAAGAATCCATTTGAGTGTCATCATGATTTAATGAAATTCTATAACAAAGTTTCATTAAACGATTTAAGAGAGCTTTATTATATAAAGGTAATTTATCAATATATTGAATAATTAATACAATATTTTTTTCTGGTGTTTCTTCAATAAGTTCAGGAATTGAATCATAGGGAAGTAATGGTTCAGGTAAATTTCTTAAATAAATTTTAATAATATCAGCAGCGATTAAAGCATTAGGTATTTCAAAGTCTTTTCCTAAATTAATCAATGGAATAATCTTATTTATTATCTTTCCATCACCTTTTCTTTTAAATACAAAAGGATCTTTTACTCCTTCTTCATCTAATACAAAGAAACATTGATCAATTGCTTGTGGAATTAATAATGATTCATCAGGTTCATTTTCTTTCATATATGTTTCAAGACTTTTACCAAATAATCGTTTACATTTACATTGTGTTTGTGTTGAAATAACAATATCAATCCATTCTTTTTTTTGAGTTAAATCATTAAATGATAAAATAGTAGTTTCTTTCTTTACATCACTTTGA